TCTCACACACCAACTGCTCGCTCTTCAGACAAGCCATTGTGGGGTTATAGGCAGACTCAAGACTTTTAATATGAAAAGCCAGTTTATGAATTTGTAGCTCACTCAGGGTGGTCCCCATCAATATACATCTGAAGTACAAAGCTAAGATAAATTTGGGAGTTACATTAGAAATATGAAGATAATGTTTAATGCCATGGAATGAAATACATAATGTAGAGAGGGAAATTAAACGGTGAATAAGAAGGTCCAGGTTCAAATTATTGGGACACTAATGTTTGCACATTGAGTAGAAGATCTTAAAAAGAATCTGAAATGTGGGCCGGGGATTTAGCTCAATGGTTTCGCCACCTGCTGCGCAAGCGCAAGGACCCGAGTTCGATCCCCAGTACCAAAAAAAAAAAAAAAGAATCTGAAATGTGACCTCATGTGAAAAACTAAAAAAAATAGAAAAACAAAAAAAATTTTAAGCCAATGAATAGTGATATGGTAGTAGATAGAAAGAGAATGATCAACAGTGGCACTGGGTGCTGGAAGATTGAAGGAAAAAAGCAACCTTTGGGTTCTGCACACTGTAGAGGTCACTAATTACCTTAAAGGGAAAATGTTATTTAAGATCTCACTGTGTGCCATGTACACAGGGATGAACAAACCATGAGACGTTGTACTAACTTTTTACACCCAGCAAGAGAGAACCAACCAGAGACCGATACTAAATCCACACAGGAGTTTATTACCGGCCAGGACCCGAGCCGAGCAGCGGACTCCAGCCCCGACTGGGAGAAGACAAACACGTTTTATGCACCTTTGAGGCCAACAGTTTCTAGGCTCCCCTATGGGATAGAACTAGCAAAGCAAGCAAAAGGTACAGAAGCAGAAAGTCCTGCCTTTAGAACATTTGTAAAACAATAGTTGATTAATTGTTGTTTCTAAAAGACTTTCTAAGAGGAGGAGGTTTCTAAGCTTCCTCCTTCTAAGTTCATCTAAAGGGCAGGCAGGTGGGTCGTTCAGCAGCAATATGGAGTCTGTTTTGCTAACTAGGGTCCTTTAAATTTACATTCTAGTGGGAAAGAGACCCAACAATATCATAACAGATAAATAAGTGCCTTGAAAAAGAAAATAGGTGATATAAGTGAGATATCCTGGAAAGATTCTCTGAAAATCCACAGTTAGATATGAGATCTAAATGATAAGGCTGTAAAAGGAAATAACAAGGGTTTTTTCCTTTCTATTCTCATATAATGCAGAACACTTCTGTGACTAGATGTTGTTGGGGGGGTTCTCTACACAGCAAATAATTCTCAAGTGCACACCAACTGGGTGTCACGTAGGTCAATTCAGTTGATACTATCTATTGGGAGATAATGTCAAATCCCACAGGTTAAAGGCTCGGTCCTACAAGACTTCCCCCCACTTCACATGCCAATCACATGTCTTAAATTGTGGCCTATGTATCTGATTGACCAGCTATGAATCACAGTTCCTGTGACACCCCCTTCCCCTTAAATATTAAATTATGTCTTGGATTTGCTTCAAAATAACATGAGGAAAAGAAATAATACGGGGGTGAGTGGAAGTGGATAGGAAGCATAAATAAAACATTGGCCATATGTTGAGAATTGAAGATAGCTAATTGTATGTGGGAGTTCATTATACTATTCTGACTACTTTAATATACAGTATTTAAATTTTTGTACAATAAAAAAATTTTAAAACATGTTTTGTTTGATCTGTAAAAGTTTGTAATTCCCAGTTTACAAATTGTGAAAAGGATAAAAATCAGATAAATTTTAAAGCACCAGGTATATAGCAGCTGCTCAGAAATCAAAAGGATTCTCTTACGTCAGGTCTGAATTAATTTTGGAGATTAAGAAGCCATCTTTTGGCCGGGGATTTAGCTCAGTGGTTTCGCCGCCTGCTGCGCAAGCGCAAGGACCAGAGTTCAATCCCCGGTACCAAAAAAATAAAAGCAGCCATCTTTTAAAAAGTGTTGAAATTGTAAAAGGTAACATGGATTCACTTTATGTAACAATATTTAGCGAACATTAAAGGGTTATAACATCAGTGTTTAGTATTCACTTTGAAAACTGCTTTTAAAAACCTGACATTCTACTTTTTTTTCAGAGAATGGTTTTCAAACTTCAGTTTGCACTGCAGTTGTTTGAGGTGCATGTGGTTCTGCTCACAAAAGTTCTAATTCAGAAGAGCTGGAGTGGGACCCAGTAACCTGAGAAACATCCTCACAAATTCGGTTGTAAGTGATCTTAGAAATACAACATTAGGAAACACTGTTTTAAGGTCTCAAGTTACTGGTCCCTAGATAGCATGTTAGAATGGTGTTTCCCTGCTAGAAACATAGAGAATCTCCTGGGACAGATAAAGGAGCACAGTCTCCTAGGATTCTGTGACCATGGAAGCAGAAGACTATATGGAACCTTCTCACAAAATAAACAATTCCAGTGGCCCACTAATACCATCAAGGACAACTATAATGTCCAACATATTTATGTTCAAAAGAGGAAATTAGTAACTACCACTTAACCTCTGGGGTTTGTGGAAGCCATACCTTAAAAAGCTTCCTCAAATATGATCTTTCCTCAGGAGCCATGCTACAAGCCCTGGGATTTGAACCTATCACTGTGTACCAGCAATCATCACTACTGATCAGCTGTCTCTCACCACGGATCAACCATGTCCCCCAACCAACCCTCCTTTCAAAGATGGAATAGTATGGCATAAAACAAGAACAGATATTGTGGTGACATTTAGAAAGGAATCATTTACTTTTCTGGGAATTCTACTGAATTAGTTTTGTGTTGCTGTAACAGAATACTACAAACTGGGTAATTTATAAAAGAACAGAGATTTCAGAGTTTGGAAGCTGGGAAGTTAAGATCACCAGGCTGCAGCACTGCATGCATCAAAATGTGGTGGGACATTACTGAGAAAGAACAATAAAAATGAAAAGTGTAGCCTCAAACCTGAATCAACTCAGTTGGGTGGAGCTCTGGTGACCTACACACCTCTCTGTGGCCCAACTCCACATGCTTTGAGGGAATACATCAAATCACAGCATCTCCCCTCTATTCATCCATCTGGGGAGAGGGAGTGGGTAGTTCACAGATTCTGTTTAAACATACTTCCATGACATACATTCAAATCCACTTTGTGTTTTTGTCCGCACAATCCTGAAAACACAGTGTTCATGGTACAGGAAAGTGATAATAGAACTTTTTACACTAACTTGAATTGGAAAAAAAATTTTTTTTCCTCACAAGATACTTACAGATTTATTTGAGGCAGCCTCAAGTAGTGATCTGGTTTTCAAAAAACTGTAATTCAACCTTGGAAACGGTGGAAGGAAGCAGAGTGAACAATGCCTTAAACTTCCCAGTACCTATCTTTTTAAAGCATGCTGGAAACATGATTTCTAAGCATTCATCATCAAAGTCTTATATGCCAGTTTGCCTAAATCTCATGAGAGCCTTAAAAATTCAATTCTTTTGTCACTCACCTCCACCTTTAAAATCCTTTGAAAATCTTTCATTGCTCAGAGAAAAACAACTCCCTACATAGAATCCACACCAACCTGAGCAATTCCATTGGCCTTCCTTCTCTAAGACACAAAGCTCCTTGCTTCATTTGTTGCCAAAATTCACCCCTCATAGCATATATACACCACCCCACGCCCACCATGGCTTTTTCTTTTTCTCCTAGTTCCACATTCATATCTCTTCTATTCATCCCTCTGTTGTCTCTTGGAGAAATGTTGCCTGGCAGATCCAAATCAAAGGCCTTCATAGGACTATATATGACTATCATAGGACTATATATATAAATATATATTTATATATAATATATATTTTTATATATATACCCATCTTTCCTGCAGTAGAAATGGATAAAACTTCTCTACCCTCTTAAATTCAGTAGTTCAGATTGTGAATTAAGCCCACAAAATACACATTACCAAAATAAAGTTTATTTTTTGTGCATAATGAGACTTTATAGTAAAGAGAAACCCCAAGGAAAAGGTTAGGCCTCAGAGTATCTATGTCACTTTAACAAAGGTCAGTGCTCGGTAGAAAAGTGATTAGATAAAGGGAGTTTATTCTAGGGGTAGTAAATTTGGCTAAAGTAAATATACAAAGAAATTACCAAAAAAAAAAAAAATACAAAGAAAGCTAATGAAAGACCCAAGTTTAGTAATGTTTATGCACACTGAGATTAATGCTGTTTGCAGTGATGAACATTCTACTCTTCCTAGTCAGGAAAATAGAAATGTTTACAAATGGGAAGATTTGTCTTACAATTCTTTGTTCAACAAATATAAGTTTATCTTACCTTTACAATGGGAAACTTACTCTCTGCTTTTCTGCTTTTGGACAAAGCGGGTAAAAGCCAAGAGTTCCTTCTATAACTTCAGTTTCGTAATGTCTCGCGGCTCAAAATAATCTTTTGTAAAATGGCTTGTGTTGGAGTGGCATATTGATGCCCCTTACTAGCAACTGTCATTGCTGCAATTTTACACTTCTTTTTGCAGGTTTACTTCCCTCACCCTCTCTAGCCTGTAAGCAATTGAAGGCAGAAACCGCACCTGGCTTTGATCACCCATGTCTCCCAATTCCCAACAAGTAGTTCAAAAGTATTTGTTAGACGCCTAAATAAACGCGTTGGATCTCTGCTTCTTTCTTTTACTACCATGAAAAGGACGAACTCATGTTCCTAGGGGATTGCATTTGTTTTAAACCCACCCTTTACTGGGCTTTGCGGTTCCTGTTTGGAGAAGTCCTCACCAGAACCTTAATCCTGTGTAGGAAACCGAGGAGCCAATCGCAGACCACCCAACCTTACTTCTCATTTATTACAAGGCTGGGTGGTAGAAAGAAATAGGTGAGCTTTAAAGGACGTAAAATCATCCCCCAAAGACTCCCCGCGCGCCTTCAAAGGCCAGCCGCTCCTAGTGCTGCCCTCTCAGAGCGAGGCGGGTGGTGCGGGATCCCGCACCCAGCTTCCGCCGGATCCCGACCGGAACCCCAGGGCTGGCGCCGGCTCGTCCCCCAGGCCGGCCGGGCGGGAGTCCGCAGTTGGTCGCCTCACGCGGAGGAGCCCACAAGGCAGCGAGGGGTCGGCCCTCAGACCCGAGGCCCGCTCGCCACCCGCGCCCCCGCCCAAGCACGAGCCGCCGACGGAAGTGTTGCGTCGCGCACTTCCGGGTGTTGTCTAGCTGTCGCCGCGCGTCTCCGGTCTCCCGGCCGTCGCCGCCTCAGGTCGTGGAGCCGGAGTAACGTCACCGCCATGGCCGGCATCAAAGGTGGGCCTGGGGACGCGGGACGCCGGAGGGCTGGTGGCCGCCGGGAGCAGGAGGCAGGGGTCCCACGCGGCCCGCGCACGCCACCTCCTTCCTGGCCGAGCGGGGCGATCCCAGTCCTCTGTCCTCCCCCGGCCACCGTGGGGTCGAGGTGGGCGCGGCCCCCTCGGGACCAGACGGCCCGGGCCGCGGCTTCGCGCGAAGCCCCGGCTGGTGCAGAGGGGGCAGCTTCCCCCACCTACCGGCCCCCGGGCGTAAAGCGAAGTGCTGGCGGTGGTTAGGAGTCGGTGAGGACGCGGGCTGTCAGACGCGCTCTGCTGGAGTTTGCATCCGATAGAGATTAAGATAGACGCGGACCCTGGCCCAATGGGCTCGGAGGGGGCGAGGCCGCTAGGGTTGCCAGTTGTGGAAAAATCAGTGTCGTTTCCTACTTAAAGGGCACAAGTGCGATCTTTCGGTGCTTTACGCCCGCAAAGAGCTTAGGGGTGCTTCTTTCTGAAAGCTGGGGATCCGAATCCTCTCCGGGACACCAGAGCGCGGTGTCTGCGCGCTCCTAAATCTGTTCGTGTGCGATGGTGCAGTGGACTCCTGAGCGATCCCAAAGCCCTCCTGGCTCCCTTCACAACTTGCACGTTGAGGTTTTTCAGATGTAAAAGTTTTTTTTGTTTCTATAAAAGATAAAGTAGTTCCAACTTTATTAAAAATTACTCGTCTGTTTGTATATTTTCTTTAGGAAATGTTGCATCCGTTCCAGCTGTTCGGCAGTTTTACAAGCAAAGATTTTTGCTTATTAACGAAATACATTGTTGATTCATTGACCTGCCGCATTAGAAGGGGCAGTCAAGCAGGAACTGAGTGAACGACTTAATGTTTTTCCGTGGTTTGGTTTGAATTTTTCCCCCTTTAAAATCGATTTTAGTTGAGCTGCTTTCCTTAGAGTCACTTTTTTTTGTTTATTTTCAGTGTCTGAAAACATTTTATTTCCCATATAAAATTTTGTCATTTGAGCAACTTGTATGCTTTTTAATCTCCTTTTGCTCCATAGTAGATCCTTTTAAATCTTTATGTGAAAAGGAGTTGTTGTAAAATGCTGTAGTCTTTAGGATGTTGCATTTTACCCCATTTCTTCAGTGTCATTAATAAGTCACTCTTAGAAAAGAACTTTGTAATTTCCTTCTTCAAGTCTAAGTAGATACTATTCAGGTGAAAGTGTCTCAGGTAGAATTGTACTTACATTTTTGGTTTCAGTAGGATTTTATGGTTATGATTGTTTATCAAGATGTTTCTTCCTGTTGGACTGTCATCTTTTATATGAAGTTTTTGGGATCAAACTCAGGGCCTTGCACTTGAGAGGCAGGCAATATATAAAGATTTTTTATTACTATAATTAGAGACCATTACAAATTTCTTGAACCACTTGCCTATTTCTTTTTGATATATTGGATTTTCTAGAAACTCAGGCTCCTGAACTGGTCCCTTTTACTTTAATTTCTTTGTGATCACAGAACCAACCAACACTGACTCTAGAGCATTTTGCTAGATAATTGGGCCATTTTATCCCTACCTTAAGGCTTTTGGGAGTAGACACCAGACTAATGTAACTTTTGTCTTCCAAATATTGCATCACTCAATTACTGTTTAAATTCTTACAGTGTTGATGTGTCATTTAAGGCACATCATTACAATTTCACAAAACTGAAGAAACTTTACAGGTCTTGAGAACACTTTTGAGCAATTTAATCTCAGTGGCTTTTATGATATCTGGTATGACTGGGAGATGTCACATAAAATTGTTTTCGAACATTTTTTTCAATCTTGAGTGTTGAATGGAATAGAAGTATAATCCCAGGATATCTTGATTCCCCCAAACAATTCCATCATATTTTTTCATTATACAGTAGCATTTGAAAGGAATTGAATCCTGAGATGTAAATAAGTGCATCAATAATTTTCTTCCAGTATTAATATTAATGGCAGTTACAATAAAAATTGTTTTTTGATACCTGAACCTTGTATCTATTTTTAGTTCCTTGAGTTTTTAAGAAGTCATTTTTCATGGACTTTTAAGAATGCACTGAAAGAATTTAGACTTTTTTGATAAGACTAGAAATGATAATTTTATATTATAAAACAGCTACTCTCAGAGACTATCAATGTCTGAATCTTCTTCCATCTTGCCAAGACTACTGTAAACATGCTCTTAAGATTTTTCTGCCAGATTTAAAAATTTTGCCAGTATTGGAGGGCATTTCTTACTTGTATTCAGCTCTTTCCTATTTCTCATGTATTTCGATGTGGATGCAAGATAATCTACTTAAAATTTTTATGTCACAAGATACAGGCAAGAGTAATTACTTTTGGGAATAGAAATAACTTCTAAATTTTGGTCTAGGAGCATGAACTACCTATTGAAAAAAATATAAATGATTCTTTAAAATAAAATTTTGTTTACTGTGGTTGAATTTACACTCAACGGTTGTGTCACAAAAATGAATAACTTCTGAATAAGAGCTTTAGGGTCTACATACAAAAATTGTTACCTGTAGTGTATGGGCTTTGTGACATCTGTTTTATCTCTTTGTAGTAGCTTTTGCTTCCTCTGGATGTAAACTAGTGTGGATGAATGACTTGTCTATGTAAACTGTATTGTAGTTGAATAAATGAGGTGTTACTGTGTAGCATTTACAAGTAGTGAACTTAGGTGTTTAGAACTACTTTTCAAAGAGTGGAGGTGGAGCTGGTAGTGAAGCTTTCGTGGAATACCTTGCCTACCATCCACAAGGGCCTGAGATGTTTTGTATTTCTTCAGAATGCCTTTTAACAGTACTTTAGCATTCAGAGAATTTTTTGTCTTTTAGATCCAGTGTCTCATTTTAAGAAGAAAAACTGAGAGTTATGGAGGTTACTTAGACAGTAGTTAGTGGCAAATAGGAACCAGGACCCAGTAGCTCTTAACTTCCAATTCTGTGCCATTTCCACTCTGCTACATTCATTCTACAAATACTTGTAATTGAGCGTCAAGTGTTGAGGAATTAGCATCAACATCAGAAAAACTTGCTCGCTCCTCTGCCCTGTTGAGAAGACAAATATACTGTAAATCAGTATGAAATTACAGCTGTATGATAACTGAGCAAGGCGAGGCATGGCAGTACAAGGGGACATCTGGCTGGAATGCTGCCCCAGATACCCACATGGTTTACTTCCTTGTTTCCTAGGGCTCTACTCAGATGGTGCCTCATGAGATGCTTCTCCAAGCCATTCTATCTAGACTTGCATTTTCATCCCTTACCTGACCTGGTTTTGGGTTTTTTGTTTTGTTTTTTCTCATCATTGGACATTTATTTGTTTACCTTTTTAAAAATTTATTTTGTGCTCCCACAGAATGTAAGCTCCATGAAAACAAGAGCTTTGATTTCTTTTCATTGCTCTGTCTTCACTAGCAAGAATAACATGTGACACTTAAGTACCTGTTCAGTTGATGAGTAAATTGCTTATATAGGGAGAATTTGTCCAATTGAGAGGTTTGAAAAAGTTCACTGAGGAAGAGATGATTGCACTGAGGTCTCAAGGAAAAGTGGGAGTTAAATTGGAGGAAGATGGGCGGAGTGGGGCAAGAATACAAGCTCAGAGAGCATGAAGGGGCTGTGTGTGGTCACCACTGTGTCCACAGCGCCTTTTGCATCTTTGGCTTCAGTAAATCTGTACTAAATGAGAAGAAACAGGTTTCAGAAGGGACAACATGTGCAGAGGCCATGTGGGTAAGAGAGCCTTCAGATTCCCGGGAAAGCAAAGAGGGCCAGAGTAACCGAAGCACACTGCAGGGCAAGGTGGCTGCCTGGTGTGGCCTGCAGAAGGGGAAGCAGGCAGTACCTGATCCTGAGGACCTAGTCTGAACTAAAACAAATGATAAGCTCAGTATTTTCCTCAAACTTTATGCTGCATTTCCTTGTAGACTTGAAGTGTTTTGTTTGCAATAAAATGAAATGTTTTCTTTTTCCACTAGCTGAAAATATAATAAATAACATTAAGGACTAAGTAAACAAGATCAGGGTTGACATGACCTACATCAGTGATCCAAATGAAAACCAAATCTGCCAAGATGCCATGTCTGTGCGTGTCCTTGATATTGACTATTTTAGTTCTGAAATGTGTATCAATACTATGTGGGAGTGTTTAATCTCTTTTCTAATAATTTTGGTGTGTATATATTAGCTTTTGTCTTAATAATTTTTAGATCTTTTACACCTTTTGAATTTTAACTTTTTGCTTAAGGTTAATTGGCTATATCGTTTAAAAAGGAAAAAGATGTTGTCTTTATTTAAATTGATAATGTCAGTGATGAATAAGGTCACTGATGAATTATCCCTACTCAAGAAAGGTGATTCCACTTATTGGCATGCTACTTGAAAACACTTTAAAATATACTGCTGTGTGTAGCTTTAGAATCTATATTTCATCTGTAGAATGCATCTGTCTTATAATAATGCAGTAAAATAATGATACCACCGAAGGGTTGTACCTACCCCTTATTCTACAGATTAGTATTTAGGAAATTAGGGGAGGAACCCCAGCTATAGTTTTGCAAGCTATTTAAATATCTATGACAGAATCAGTTGAGTAAAATCATTAACCGCAGATAATTTCAAAGTTTTTTTCCATCAGTTTTGGGTTTTCAGTTTGTTTGTTTTTTTGTTTTGTTTTGTTTTTTTGGGTTTTTTTGGTACTGGGGATCGAACTTGGGACTTTGCACTTGTGAGGCAGGCAGCGGAACCACTGAGCTAAATCCCTGGCCCCTTCAGTTTGTTTTTAAGATGGGAGTCTTGCCATGTTGCCTTGGCTGGACTTGAACTCCTCGGTTCCAGAGATCCTCCTGCTTCAGCCTCCCTGCTTGTGTACCTGGCTCATGTTGAGTGGTTATCTGCAAGAAGCTAGAATTACAAGTGTGTACCACTGTACCTGGAAATAACTCACTTTTAATACATTTAGGTTGGGGAGGCTTTGTTTTGCTTCTAGCATAGCTGGTAATGTTCATAATGCTAATACATCAGCAAAAACCATATTAATGTAGTTTAACTGATGTTATCTCTTGGATTTCTTATTGCAGCTTTGATTAGTTTATCCTTTGGAGGAGCGATTGGGCTGATGTTTTTGATGCTTGGATGTGCCCTTCCAATATATAAGTACGTAAAATTTTTGAGTGTTTAAGGATAAAATATTCTACTTTTAAAGCTGTAAAAATGTTTTGTTGTCTGATATAAAATTAATACAGAGAAATATTCACCAAACAACCTTTAAAAAAAATCATCACTTAAAATTTATTTGTAAAGATAGTAGGACATCAAAGTGCAGAAAGAAGTTTTTGATTATCTGCTCTTTGACTACTATGGAGTCTAAAATAGCAAGACAGCAACACAATAGCTCGGTCCTGCTATTTAGTTTTCAGCACTTATTTTTAACATTAAATATAAGAAAAGTAAAAGCATCTTTTACAGAAAATACCATAATCAGAGTTAGAACACAATTGACTTTTTAAAAATGGTGTAGATGATGGCTTTTCCTAGCCTAGAAAGAACTTTTTAAAATTAATATTTAGATAAACTGGAAGAGGACAGCTCAGTAGATAAATGAACAACAAAGCTGAGAACTACACATTGCTAATAAGTACATGGAAATATACTCAGCCTCCCTCAACTTGAAGCGAAATACATTGGCAAAGACAAAATATATGGACAAACAGGCACTGCTAGGGATTATGGTGGGGAGTCTGAAGTGTAAATAAGTGCAGTTTACTTGGAGACCAGTTTGCCCATAGTTCTTTGCCTAGCCTACCGCTTCTTAGACTTTTGCCCACAAATCACTTACAGTTGTTTGCAAAAATATGTGTGGTTGGGAAAGTGCATAGGTGTTTATGATAGGCTTGTTTATAATAGCAAAAAAGGAAAACTGATGGCATCATAAGTATAATGTCAATCAAAAGAAAAATCGTTAAATGATGGTATGTCCATCAATGAAAATCCTAGGAAGCCTTAAAGAATAAGGAAGAGCTGTAAAGCCATTATGTACAGATGTTCCAGGTATGTTAAGTGAAGAAACTGCAGTGCTCTGGTCCCCTTTTTAAAGTTTATGTCTGTGGGACTCTGCAAGTGTTGCCCAAGAACCTCCATAGGGAAGAGAGAAAGAAAGCAGGGGAGCTTTTGGAGCTGTTAGTTTTTACTTTTCGTGCTTTTGTATTGTTTGAAATGTTTCCTCTTAGTACATACTCCAACAGCTTAAAATGTTTTGGAAGAACTTAGGTAAATCTTTACTTACCCTAAGCCCCTAAGTAGGAGCAGTCTCCTCTATAAAGTGTGATTTATTCTAGGGCAGTTTTAAAGGCTATTTATTTCTTTTCAACTTTTTACTTTGAAGCTATTATATTATATTATGTCAAGAAATTGCAAAAATAGTACATAAATGTGCCCTGTGGCCTTCAGATAGCTTCCCCCAGTTATATCTTATATAACTAACTGTAGTTTTCAAAACCGGGAAATGACATAGACACAATACAGTTACCCAAACAACAGACTTAAGATAAACTTATATTCTGACTGCAAGTCTTCAGGGTTACTTTCAGGGAGTTTGCTACAGATTGGTTTCAGTAGTTTGGGAGTTCCTAGGGACACGGAAAGCATGGATAAGGCTTTCAGCTTTAGGCTAAGGCGAGATGGCAGAGGGGTGAACTTCAAAAGGTTGCTGTGTTTGTGCCTCATTTTCCATATACCTCTTTGTAACCTCAAATTAAAAAAAAAAGAATTTGAGACCTCAATTCCAACTGTTTTATATATATATGAAATTTTTATTTAATATTAGAAAAATGTCATGTATCATTCATTTTAGAGATACTATAACTCAAAATGTTTCATACTTCAGTTTTCAGTTTGGGTTTTTAAAAAAACAAATTACAGCAAAACATTTATTGGTACATTTTAGGCATACATATTGATAACATTTTTCATCTGCAGCATGTTTGGTATTTTGAACATTCTTTTGGTCCTTATAAAAAGAAAGTCATATTTTCTATGTAGGAGAATGACAACAAAAACTACATTAACTTATTTTTCTTTTTCTAGCCAATACTGGCCTCTTTTTGTTCTGTTTTTTTACGTCCTTTCACCTATTCCATACTGCATAGCAAGAAGATTAGTGGACGATACAGATGCTATGAGTAATGCTTGTAAGGAACTTGCCATATTTCTCACAACAGGCATTGTTGTCTCAGCTTTTGGACTCCCCATCATATTTGCCAGAGCACATCTGGTAAGTGAATATATTTTTTCTGTGAGTAATCGTTATTAGACTGTTAACTTTTTTCTGAAGCCAGGTTTTTAATGAGAGAAGAGACATAGCAGCCTAGAAGATAAAGATTAAAATCTCAGTTTTTTGGTTGTTCTTGATAAATAATAAAATGATATTAGAGAGCATAGCATGGATCTGTAGCAGCACTTGGCTTGCTAATGCCTAGCTGACATTAGCTCATTCAATGCTGAACTGCCACCAGCCTGCCCTGTGAAACTGAGAACACAGAAGACCCGAGAAGTGTGTTCTCTGCAGGTAAGAAAGTACTAAAGAGGAGAAAGGGCTAGCCTGCAGATACTGTTCTTCCTTTCAGACTATCAACCCAGATTCATACCTCTATCTCTGAAAAGGTAGGGAAGAAGACAGACTGGCTGCCTTGGAAGATCGAGATGGCGGTTACTTCCCCACCCCCTTTGAAAGAATACGTGTGTGCACACACACAAAAAAGAATGCACACAAGTGTATTTTCATTTCTAAATGTACATCTCATCTGTTCTCTAAATAGATTTTTAGTTTCACTAGGAAAGAGCAAAGTTCTATCTGATCAGAAAATTGCAAGATTCTATGCGTTGTCATCAGAACCTAGAATATAAGCTTGTTTTTGAATAATTATTGTCTCATAATTTTTTTTTTTTTTTTGGTACTGGGGATCAAACTCAGGACTTAGCGCTTGCAAGGCAGGTGCAGTGCCACTGAGCTAAATCCCCCCATCACAATTTTCTTTTTAAAGGAACCAAAGGTAAATAAAAACAGCCATATAGAGGTACACTAAGTATTCAGTGCTGTAAAAGCTATTACAAACCATATTTGCCTTAGATCATGATTGGCATCCAACTAGAGCCTCAATTTGCTTTTTACTTCCCTTTTGTTTTTCATGTCTGTTAACCAAGTGTTTCTATCTTATTTCCATAGATTGAGTGGGGAGCTTGTGCACTTGTTCTCACAGGAAACACGGTCATCTTCGCAACAATACTAGGCTTTTTTTTGGTCTTTGGAAGCAGTGATGATTTCAGCTGGCAGCAATGGTGAAAAGTTACTGAACTATTGTCAAATGGACTTCTTGTCATCTGTTGGCTATCCATGCATACGAGAGAGATTGGGCAGTAGTGATACATGGTGTAGCAAGTCTCTTGGGGGTATCCTAGGTGCTCCCTTCTCGCTTTTATTGTATACATATTATTTCACAGAGACTTGCTGAAGGATTAAAAGGATTTTCTGGTTTGGAAAAGCTTGACTGATTTCACACTTATCTGTAGTATGCTTTTTGTGGTGTCCTGCTGGATTTAAATATTTGTATGTTTTTCCTGTTCAGCTTGTTTTTTCTTTTTTTTTTAGCTTTTTTTTTTTTAATCAATATGCAATGTTAAACATTTTTAAATGTGTTAACCATTTGAATTGGTTAGAAATTCAGAATTCTTCTGGCTATGTTACTGGGCTAAAGTACATATTTTTTCCTAATCTCCATTATTATAAAAATAAGTTTTCAGGATAATATTGCTCCCACTTTTATGCAAACATGCAGACTGTTGGCATACCTTACAGACTATCTACTCAGTGCAAATATAGCTGCATTTATACCTCAGAGAGGCCAAG